TTGTGCCAAGGACATGTGATGGGAAGGTTGTTAAAGTCATCTGGTATGTGTCATGGCATCAGATCTTTAGATGACTCTTTGAATCACCCAAGTACTGCACAGCCTCTGCGAAATTGGTGCTAGAAAAATGAGCCATCTTTGTGACTGAAATGAAAATCTTGCTGGTTGAACAATAACAGAAAAGAACTGTTCAGGCAGCCTGAGTGAATACGTTCTATAATGTCTGCAACTCTTCTGACCCTAGCGCGGCAAAATGGTAGCTGCCATCTAAACTCTTTTGGCTTTACAATGGTCAAAAATCAAGTGCCACAGGACTCTGTGCAAGGCATGACAGAGTAGTAGAGACTGTAGAAAACTTGAGAGCACTTGCTCCAATGAAAAGCAGTGCTAGTTAGCTCTACCACAATACTACAATGCAGGAATTCAGGCCCAGAATGGCCAGCTCTTCTGATTTTTCAAGAGAAGCTTGGAATCTGCATGAGGGGATGAAAGTGGGACATGGATGTATGTGGGTATGGCTAAATCAAATTCAGCTCAAGTGGTATTTGTTTAGTTTATACTGTGTCCAAGTCACTGTTCTAGACATATGTATGTATCAGAAATAAAAAGGAATAAGAGCTGAGGCCCATGGACTCAAAAAAAGCTTTATTCTAGTCATAAAACCAAGATATGTTCTGAAATAAATACAACATAAGACTATATGGGGAGTGCTATGTATTACATAAGTTAACATACTGTATTTTTTTAATCAGCTGAACTAAAGAATATGCTTAGTAATGCAGTCGATTTACATTCTGGCTCAGGTTTCTTGTCTCACTGCAGACAGGTAACAAGGGATTCTCAGTCTAGGACCAGCCCATGGGCTACACTTTATCACTGGTCTAAAGTGTAATGAGAGAAAGAGATAAGATGGCATGAGATGTGGTTATACAGGTAGGCAGGGAACCATGCCAAGCCCAGGTGGACTGGTGAAGTCTTCACTAAAAAGGCAATACAATGTGAGTAAAAAAGCTTAAATGACTCCCTGAGATCCTCAGAGTCCTAGGGTTTGAAATGTTGCATAGAGAAAAACCAAGCTGTACTGAGGTGGGGATAAGAGGTAGTCTGTGAATCTGACTGAGGAGTCATTTGCTTATGCACACTAGTCTCACAGGGTGTGATAAGAAAAATCATACATTAGTATATTTGTGTAGCATGATCTAAGAATGTGTCCATTTTGCAAATGCCAAGAGCTAGTGGCAGAGCTTGAAAACCGGTGACCCACAGGCATGTTTCATTTGGCCCGTACAATATTATTAGGGAAAAAAATTAGTTGCCAATATTTAAAAAACTTCAAAATCTGGCAGAGCTGGACTTATATTCCCACAAGGTAGCCTCATTAGAAGAGGAATGTGCTTACCCAGCACCCATCAGTCCTTAATGTCTTATACCTGACTTGTATATTAATTGGGATAGTGGTTATGCCACAGTAACAAATGACTAAAACATCTCTGGCTTACTAGAAAAGTTTGTTTCTTGCTCACATTGCTTATCCATGGTGGGTTGACTGTGGTTCTGCTCCACATCATCTTCACCCTAGCACCAGAGCAGGGAGCAGTCTGTCTGGAGCATCACTGGAGTGAGGAAAGGGTACATGAACAAAAATACACTACCTCCTAAAGTATCTGCTGTTATTTCATTGCCCAAAGCAAGTTCCATGGCAAAGGTGAAGGCACTGGGGCTGGGAAGTGTAATCCACCCTCAGGGAGAGGCAGCTAATATTTATGTACAATAGTCTACCACAACCCCTTTGCTTAGATGACCTGTCTAGTCTCCATAGACACTTCAGTGTGACCACTCTGGGCTAAGGAACATGAGAATCTAGTTTTATCATGGCCAGAAGCATGAGGGCTACTGCAAAGCTTACAATGCTACAGCTGTCACCACTACATTTGTTTTATCATTCTTTAGAGCCACGTGTTCTTAAATAGGTTAATAGTTCACAGGCTTTTCCCTCGATACTCTTTACTTCTTATTTCAGGCTCCACCTGGGCAAGGCACACTAACTATGATAGCAGTGTCAGAAAGCCAGGCTGTGTGATAGCTCTAGCTCCACTCTTCACCGCACTTAGGCACTGGCTTCCAGTGGGTGGGGTGTGCGCCCAGACTAAGCTATCAGATGTGTATTGCAGCATCGTTGAAGTCTAAGGCTTTACCATAAAGAACAGGTAAATGATTAGGCATGTGAAGCTCAACATTACAAACTGTCTGTGTATCCAGCTCTGCTCATGGAAATGTGGAAAGCACAAGCCTTGTTGGAGAGCAAGGGGACTACCAGAGGATGTAGATTTGAGTGCCAAATTGTGAGGTATTCCTTTAGTTTACCAGTTGCCAGTGTGGACTGGCATCGGTAGGGGTAGGCTCTGTGAGGTGGTCAAATTTATGTAGGAGTTGACATATGGAAGGAGAACATTGTGCATGAGTTCAAAGTTACTACTGGTTTCACCTAAATTCAGAATCTCTGGAAGTCAGATGGGCTTATACAATATTATAGAGTTGGTTAGCTTTAAAATGTTTTTAAAGTTTTCTATTGAAATATTTTTGTCAGGTCTTGAGTCCCACTTAATTCTGACTAGCAGGTGGAATATGGAAGTGCCGTGGGGCTGGGTGGCTCACGCCTGTAATCCCAACACTTTGGGAGGCCGAGGCGGGCAGATCACCTGGGGTCAGGAGTTTAAGACCAGCCTGGATTACATGGTGAAACCCCATCTCTACTAAAAATACAAAAAAAAAAAATTAGCCGGGCATAGTGGCGGGTGCCTGTAATATCATCTGCTTCGGAGGCTGAGGCAGGAAAATCGCTTGAACCCAGATGGCGGAGGTTGCAGTGAGCCGAGACTGCGCTATTGCACTCCAGCCTGGGTGACAAGAGCAAAACTCCGTCTCAAAAAAAGAGGAAGTGCATTGGTTACGCTCAGCAGCCACAGGGCTGTTCCTCCCCACCTTACATGTCTTCTCACATTCTTCAGCATGCACTGCCTATGATGTGCTGCAGTAGTTTTATTTCCACAAGTCATTCTACAATTTCCTGTCCTGAGGAGCCCTAATTTAGATTTCACACAGAGGCTGGTGGTATTCTCCTCACTTTGACAGTAGTGGGTAGGGAACTGATGTATCCTGTGCCTGGGAGAGCACCTGGAAAGTGGCAGGCACTGAGTTACATGTGAAATGAGACGAATGATTGGAGGGATGCATGGGTTTGGAGAACCACATGATCCATCCTTCTCTTCTCAGTTACATGCTCCTTTATTCCATCCTCTTACTGGCATTGAGAGAGATGGGATGAAAATGAGGTAGATATCTGACTTGCCAGAAAGAAAGATTTTAAACAGCATAGCATCCATTTGCCTTCTTTTCCTTCCTCTAATGATATTAAACAGAGATGTGGGATAGAAATGAAGAAAGTAAGTTGGATTTTAGAGGAAACAGGGAAAGGAGGAGGAACTGTGGTGAATGGTGAAACACATTTACTCAGCAACACCAAGGTGGAGGCAACCAAACTAACTTTGTTATAGACAGGAAGGTTCATGATGGGTTATCCACACTTTTGCCTGGTTTCTCAGTGGCCAGTCAGTGATGAGGATGAGCACCATCGCCCATGGCCACAGGAAGGATGGCCACTTCAGCAGCGTGACTGTGTGCCCTTTGCTCATGAGGTATTGGTACATCCATACCCCAATTATTAAGGACTTTTTGGCTAAGAAGGAGATCGTGCAACTGGAATGGGCCAGTGGAGGTTGGTGACACAAGCTAGTCCTTGGTGAATGAAGTCATTAGAATCAAAGGCTGTGCTTTCCTTCACTTTCCAAGTTGGCTGAGCCTGTAAAGAAAATGGTATAGAGTAACATTCCCTATTTACTGCTCCTTGGCCTCTGATGTTTGCTGACTCATTCATTCTTGCACTCAACAAATATTTCTCGAGCACTCATAAGGTGTTAGGCACTATCCTGGGTACTATAGATGTAGCATAGAACAAAACAAAGTCCTTGTCCCCATGGAGTGTACAGTCTAGTATGAAGACCTGGTGGCATACATCACGTGACAGAACATTTTTGAAAAGCTGGCAAGTCATTATTCTCTCTCAGCTCTCAGAATGATGCCAATGGTTGAGTTAGATGACAAAGGAGAAGTGGTAATTGAGGATGCTGGGGGCGGGGGGGGGGGGGGGGGGGGGGGGGGGGGGGAGGGGGGGAGGTGCGGTGCGGAATCAGGCAGGGAGATCATGTTTTTTGGGATATCAGAGTTCCATAGTGGTCCTGGAAAAGAAGTCCTCAGAGGTATTGCTTCTGGTGTGCTTCCTGTGGCATTCTAAGATAGTTCTTCTCACTGCCTTAGAATCCCCTGAGCATGTTCATCTCAACTTTGCTATGGAACTCTTGGAATTGGTGAGGAGTCTCAGCATGTGCAGTTGGAAATGCAACCCTCAGGGCATTTTATTTCCTAACTCAGGAAGCACTAGGGGCTGAAGAGTAAAAATTGTTCACTTTATGTTCACCTGCTTGCACATATCATATGTAGCTATCAATGAATAAGTGTAGCAGATACAATGGTAAATTTCATTTTACTCTCTTTTGAACTATCTGCATTTAATTCTATTAAAGAAATGAAAGCTGTTGGGCTTGTTACTAAGGACACTTACCAGAATCTGCTCTATTATTTAATTTTTGTATTGGTACATATTTAGCCAGGTAACCGTGTAAAGAAATTACACCACTGCCTTCCACCTCGTATTATTAAAATAACTCTTGAAAAGTTTGGTTCAAATCTCAATCTTGTAAATGTTTACTTCTGGACAATTTGATCATCAATTCATGAAACAGAAGCAGTGTGATATGCCTGCAAAATTACACACCATGTAATATGCCACAGCCACTTCAAGCAAAGCAAGAATACCAAGACTCACTCAGATAAGAAGTTAGTTTTTGGATCACTGGCTTCTTTAGAGAGACTCAGAAGATGCCTTATTATTTTTGTGATTTATTTCTGGGCTTCTCACATATCCCTGTCATACAGCCAAACATGAGCTGATGCTGATAATAGTTTATTGGCCATGGAGAAAATCCTCAGTCTTGATGGAACTCCAGGATGACACCAAATGAACAGCGAGGAACATCAGGATGCCAAAAAAGTCCTTATTTACAGAGGAAAGGAGGCTAGCTGCTTATGTGTTCAATGAAGAAATAGATGCCTCTTAAAAGTATTGAAATAATACTGCATAGTGTATTGCCATAATTTGGCAATACAGTGATAGCATATTTTAATTTAATAAATTCAATAATTTAGTTAGAATATAAAATGAAAAAAAACAGCAAATATCCAGAACTTATCAATCACAATTCATTTTTTACAGTAATGTCAATCAATGAAAAGCTTAAATACATATTTATAAGCTGGCAGGCCAAATATTATGTTAGAAATACATAATGTATGTCACATTCAATCCACATATACATGTATAAATATATTCATATACACACATATGCAAGTTAAATCTTGAATGTCATATTTTGGATACTTCTGAGTAAACTTATGACCTTCTGCTTGATTGGAACCAAAGCATATCACATATACCTAAAGTCAAATTTTTGGGTATATAAATACAACTATTTAATACGTAAACAGGTATACATCATCGAGTTTCTGGTTCAGGATAAACACCTTCTCTCAAAGACTGAGTCAGAAATTCGTAACTCTTAGATAGGAAGTTAGGACACCTATATTCTGATCCTGGCTTTACAGGCTCAGAACTTTTGGGGAAAGTTTTTTTTTTTTTTAAACTTCTCAAGGGTCTAACTTTACCCATCATAAAATAATTTTGGTGCAAGGGTAGTGGCACATTTTTAAATTTGGGATACCACGCAGATGCAACCTAGCCCCATTCTTTATGCAAAGTAGATTATCTGTGCATTTCTTCTGCATTGATAGTGAGTCCTTACTGGGGACAACTCATTCCACTTGGCAACAATCTTTAATGAACAGGCAATATATAACATTACTGAAAGTCTCTAAGCACTCATTTAATTTTATAAAAGGATCATTACCATCAAAGAAAGACAGTACCTAATTCATAAAGGAGATATAAGGACTAAGTAAATGGAATGTGCTTAGAACAGAGAATAGCATGTAGTGAGCACTCCAGTTTTAGTGGTGATGATGACAGTTACTACTGTCACTACTACCATATGCTAAGCTGGTAACTAGAATCAAAGTTAAAACAGCCATGGTCTCTGCCTCAGTAGAATTTAGATTCATGCAGTGTATGGGTTGCAAACTCATAGTCAGGATGTACAAATATAAGAAATGAGGCTGTGGCAGTGATACCTGTAGACCCCATACCTGGCTGGAGAGGGCAGGGACAATTTGGCCCCAGCAGGTTGTTACCTTCTGGGAATGAGGTCCATTGTTGCCAACTCTTGCTTTTTAAGAGAAGTTAGCAACTTGATTATGTGAAATCTCCCAACTTGTAAGAACGGACAATAAATATAAATTAATAAAACAAAACAAATGCTCTGTGGGCTAAAAGCCACTGCATGTTGATGGCTCCTAGAAGTGCCAGTCAAGGTTTTGACATGCTGGCTATGGTATCTCCAATTCTCCACTTTTTGAGATGGCCTGAACAGATGTGGGCAAAATTTACTTGTCAATTAATCTTTAATTCTTGGCTCCCCCAAGAAATGCACAGAATTTATAAGCTGGGAGCTTGCAGGGCACATATAAATGTTAGAGACTGTCATCTCATCAGTGACCACAGAGGCACAAAGAGGACCAACGGGGTGGATTGACCAGGACTCATATGACAAGGGATTAGACAACTACCTTTTGCCAGAAAACACAAGGAGACTGTAGAGCACAGATAGGTGAAGAGTTTAACACAATTTATTTTATGCTTAAATAATCGACTAGGTCATCCAGTGTATGGTTTTTCATACATATGTCATTAGAGCTATGTGTCAATGAATGCTGACTTTATGTGAATATAATCAACAAATTAAAGAATTTCACCAAAACCCAAATAAAAATGCCCTTGAAAACACAGCAGCCTTATTAACCTAATATGACACTTCTAGAATGGTTACAAATGATTGGCTTACTGAAAGGTGTCTACATCTTATAGCCAGTACACAATACAGTAATAATTTTACAGCGTGCTGCCATTCTACTAGCTAAGAATTTCTGTTCAGTCCGTTTTAAATACCCCCGACTGGGGCCTCTTATGAGCACCATCCACCTCTAAAGCGGCAAGCATTTACCCCCTTTTAAGCACTAACAGTTAGCATCCCCCCACCCCCTAAAGCAACTACCGTATAGGTTATTTTTTTTGTTTTTTTTAGGTCATTTCATTGAAAAATTGGCAATAGCAACAAATATTAGATGAAGGGCTTTGTGTTTACAGATAAAATCTTTTGTGTTGCAGTATATTGTAGTGTTTGCAAAATTGGAAAAGATTTAATCAAAATAAGGTGATACACATGCATCAAAATATTAGTATTCTGAAGAAAAAAATTTTTCACAGAACTACAGAATTCCTCATTTTGGGAATTATTTAAATTTGCAGCAGATTTTAAAGATTTGTTTTTCTTTTTAAAATCAAGCTAGCAGTTTTGCATATACAAACATTATAATTGCTAATATACAAGAATCAGTGAAGAGTCCCCCCCACCCAGAATCCCTCCCTCCTCTTCTAGGGTGAAGTCACTTGAGACCCCTATTTGTTAAATGCATTTGCAATATTCTGTTTGTGTTCTAAGAGGCAGTGCCTTATCAACATTTTATTCTATTTTTCTGTTAGAATTTATACAGTGTTATTATTTACAGCAAAACTATCGATGTTTTAAAAAAGAAAGAAATAGTGTTTATACCCTGACAGTTTGGGTCCAAGAAAAATAAGGCGAGCTGTTGTAGATTTAGTAATTTTAGTGTTTCTCTGTGATTTGATCATTCCATCTCCTTCTGTCCCTTCTGATGGCAGGAATTTCTTCCTTTTGTAAATGACACCAAATTACTTGAGATAAACTGTTAACAGCATGGCTTCTTGTATATACACTGCATTGCTAATTGCACACGCGCCAATCTGGAAATGAAAGTGATTTCCATGCTCTGTAAATTGGCTCATGCTAAATTAAAATGTGAGTGGTTTTCTTTTCTTTTCTTTTTGCATAAAAAAAATCATGCCATTAATGTGTGGAAGCAGCGAACACACACACACTTCTCGGTGAATTTTTACTTCCTGCTGACATTTCTTCCATGAATTTCTCAATACTGGCAGTAAAAACTTATGATCCTGTGGAAAGAGACAGTAGATAGTGAGTTTAGCTTTCTTTTTTTCTCTTTTCTTCTTCTTCTTTTTTTTTTTTTTTTTTAAAGAGAACTAGTGTAAGCCTTACTTGCCATTCAACAGAAAAGTCTTAGAGAATAGAGGCCCTCCATTCCCTATGGGGTGGTTTAACATGATGCCGCTACCTGCTTGATGCCTTAGAGGGTGTACTGGCAAGCTCTTAGAAGGCAGTGACCTTTTCTAGGTGACCCTGTGACCTCCAGGAGCCTTGCTTATTATTGTATTTGTGTTTTGTAATTGTACCACACCACCTGGTTCAACTTTTTTTTTTTTTTTTTTTTTTTTGAGATAGAGTCTTGCTCTGTCACCCAGGCTGGAGTGCAGTGGCCGGAAATTGGCTCACTGCAAGCTCCGCCTCCTGGGTTCACACCATTCTCCTGCCTCAGCCTCCTGAGTAGCTGGGACTGCAGGCGCCCGTCACCACACCCAGCTAATTTTTTGTATTTTTAGTAGAGATGGGATTTCACCGTGTTAGCCAGGATGGTCTCAATCTCCTGACCTTGTGATCTGCCCACCTCAGCCTCCCAAAGTACTGGGATTAGAGGCGTGAGCCACCGTGCCTGGCCCTCAACTTTTATGTAACAAAGTTGTGAGTTGTTTTTGAGTTTCCATGGACCCCCCCTAGGTTGAAGGTCACATAATCTGAGCGTGCCCAGATGAACTAAATATGCAACCATAGGAGGAACCTAAGTTTTCAGACTGAGGAGCTAATTAAGAAGCTTATGCCTCATGGCAGGATCCAATCAGATAGAGCCTTGGCGTCACCCCATTGCAGGATCCAGTCAGATCATGCCTCATTACCCTATGCTTCTAAAACATGACCCAGCCCCCAGCTTAGAGAGACAGATTTGAGTGGTTCCTCCTGTCTCCTTGTCAGTCAAGTGGCAATACACCTCTCTCCTGCAAAAACCTGGTGCTTTGGTGTTTGGTGTTTGACTTTCCACTGTGCACGGGCAAATACCCAGCTTGGTTCAGTGACAGTTTTAGAGACTGTGTTGGGAAGACCCTCTTCTAGTTCTGTCTGAAGCTCAGGTTATTCAACTGCTTGGGGAAGCCATTTGTAGCCCTTTGGGCCTTAGTCTTATCTGTGAAATGAGGTGGCTGAGAGAGGTAATCTCTGAGACTACCCTAAACATCAAAATGTAAGGAGTCTGGCACTTCCATGAGCAGAAAGGGACAAGGATATGGAGTCAGGATAAAGCATCTCAGCTATTTCTGAATGCTTTGTAAGTCTCTCACTTCTCCAAAAATTCAACTAATTTTTCAAAAGGAGGAAAAGTGTCACTACTTCATTACAATGAAATTTCTTTTCCATAACCAAATTAAAATTAAAGACAAACTTCTACCACTGCAAAGAACTTTAGCTTTTCCTGTCCCTGTCAGTCATAATGGGACAAATTAATTTTATTTGAGCTTTTCAGTGGAGGCTCCACTGAGAATGTCTTGTCTTGCTGGAGGATTCCTGCATAAGGCATCTGTGTTTTATAACCAGTCTTACTGTGAAAAATAAATCATTCTTTGGCAGAGGTTTTCATACTTTTGTGCACTATTGTGGTATGAATTTGCCTTTTCCATAAAATGAAGTTCTTCCCATATATTGTCTCTCCTCCTTGTTCAGTGTGAAAAGCTGACAAACTTGCATGCCTGCCTCAGAACAAGATACAGCTCCTATAGAAATCCTGAGAAAGGCAAGAACAATTTTAAGAATAACCCTGCTCACTCACATATAAACAACAGACTATATCTGCAGATCTAGGACAACCTTTAGAATTCGACTTCTCTTGGGGCCCAGGCGTGTGTCCAGTGACCTTGAAGATGTTTACTTACCTCAGACAAGTATCTTCCTCTTTAGATGGGTCACCTAGGACACCCTGGCTTATGGAAATATGTTGGGTACAGCACTTCCTCTCTCTGCCCCACTACAGGCCTTGGCTTCCTTTTTAGTATTAAAAGTGCTACTGACCTCCATGCCCCAGGTCACTAATGGTTGGAGCCAAGAACATGAAAGTATCAATTCCTCCTACGTGATTTCAACACCCCTCCCCTGTGACTCTGTGAGGTTCCAAAGAAGGAAAGTGACTCACTTGGGTAGATCATCTTGCAGAGGGTGGGCAAATCAGAAGATGATGATCAGGGTTTCCTCACCTGCTTTTATCATTTAATCCTAATCTTTTAGGCACCAGGCTTCTTAGATGGTCCTATGATAATGTTACTACAGTCTCACTCCCTGCTTTCTCTAAACCTCTCCCCCTGACTTTTTGAAGCTTAATATATAATTTATATACGATACTTCAGCTATTATAAATACACACCCAGGCTGGAATGGAATGGCATGATCACAGCTAACTGCAACTCCACCTCCTGGGTTCAAGCGATTCTCCTGTCTCAGCCTCCCGAGTAGCTGGGACTACAGGTGCACGCCACCACGCCTGGCTAATTTTTTGTATTTTTAGTAGAGACGGGGTTTCACCATGTTGGCCAGCCTGGTCTTGTACTCCTGACCTCAAGTGATCCACCTGCCTCGGCCTCCCAAAGTGTTGGGATTATAGACATGAGCCACTGCGCCTGGCCTGGCTTGATAATTTTTAATAAATTTATGTAGATGTGTGATCATCACTAATTTTCTCCATGTCTCCTAAAAACCAATCCAACTTCCCAGGTTAATTTTGTAGTGAGTAGCAAGGCCTTTCTCTTCTCACCTCAATCCAAGCAAATGTTATCTTTCTGGATATATTGGATATGTTTCTATCATTTAAAAAAATGCTATGAATTATGCCTACTTATATTCCAGTGAGGATGATTTGGGTGATTTTTTAGAAGTGGGAGTTAGTTCCTCTTATAAATTTTTCTTTTCTTAGTTATGCAATTAGAGCGTGTTGGTCCCAACCACACTGGGTACAGGAAGGTCATTCATTGGACAAAAGACTACACCAGGTACCATGTTGCATAAAAAGCATGAGAACCTTGGCTAAGTGACTGTGTACTTGCTATAAAAATATTGACACTTGGTGTAAACTGTGATGACAGCGCCATCTGATGGGAAGGTCTGAGGGCAGAAGCCATCAAGATGACATTTCAGAAATAGAATTTTGAATCATCTCCCTTTTCTGGTTTAGATAATGGATATGAGATAGATGCAGTTGCACTTAGGAATCTGTCTTTCTTTGGGTTTTGTATGCCTTTCAAACCTAAAGGTGGGAGAAACTAAATCAGAAAACCAATCATTCCTTTTAGCCATTTCACTGTATTTTTAAGAAACATTTAAAAATATACAAAAACAGGGCCAGGCATGGTGGCTCATGTCTGTAATCCCAGTACTTTAGGAGGCCAAGGCCGGGGCGGGGGCGGATCACCTGAGATCAGGAGTTCAAGACCAGCCTGGAGAACATAGTGAAACCCAGTCTCTACTAAAAATACAAAATATTGGCCGGGCGTGGTGGTGGGCGCCTATAATCCCAACTACTCAGGAGGCTGAGGCAGGAGAATTGCTTGAACCCAGGAGGCGGAGGTTGCAGTTAGCTGAGCTCGCGCCATCGCACTCCAGCCTGGAATGACACAGCGAGACTTCAAACAGACAAACAAACAAACCAACTTGGAAACAGCAATTCATTGGATTTTCGTGGCGGTTGATACTTTACAGTTAAATATGTACTGCATACATTCAAGTCAGGAGCATGCTCTGGTACAGAACTGACTTGTCTTTTATAGGCGAATGGACATACCTGTGGATTTTAGACCCTAATGCCTAACTTTAAAAAGGGTCTCCTATCTTTGATTTGGCATTTGAAGCTCTCTGGTCCAGTCCAATGCACCTTTTTAGGCTTAATTCCTAATGTCCTCCACTGAGGACAGATTGTTTTGCAATCTCCAGTGGTTCTCTAACTTGGTTGCACATTAGAATTACCTGGGAAAATTAAAACAACAATATCCAGACCACATCCCATACCAGTTTATACAGAATTTTTCAGGATGGGGCCCAGCATCAAAAATTTTTAAAAACTCTAGATAATTTGAGAGCCAGTCAAATGTTCTGGAGCAGTGCTTCTCAAAGTTTAATCTGCATTACATAGGAGTCTTTGAGTGCAGATTCTGATTCAGTAGGTCAGTGTGTCTGAAATTCTGTTTTTATTTATTTATTTTTGAGATGGAGTCTTGCTCTGTTGCCCAGGCTGGAGTGTAATGCATTCTTGGCTCACTGCAACCTCCGCCTCCCGGGTTCAAGCGATTCTCCTGCTTCAGCCTCCTGAGTAGCTGGGATTAAAGGTGCCCACCACCATGCCTGGCTCATTTTTTGTATTTTTAGTAGAGATGGGACTTCACCATGTTGGCCAGGGTGGTCTTGAACTCCTGACCTCAGGTGATCTGCCCGCCTCGACCTCCCAAAGTGTTGGGATTACAGGCATGTCACCATGCCCAGCCTGAAATTCTGTATTTCTAACAGACTTTCAGGAATGCTAGTCATGCTGATACTGTGGTCCACAGACTTCACTTTGAGGATCTAGATTACATGGCAGGTATCAACTACAAATTGTTTTCCCACTTCATTGTCTTTGCTCATGATTTTGTATCCACCTATACTTGCTTCTCTGATCATCATCTGTGGCTAACTCCTCTTCTACCCTTCAAATTTGTTTCAAATGCCCCCTCCTTGAAAGTTCAGACTTCACTCTCCCTAATGAAAGCCACCTTTGTAGTTCAACTCTTACTCATCTTTAAGACTTAGCTGTGTCATGGCTTAAGGAAAGCCTGAGCCCACTGAGGACAGAGAGGTCTTTACTCTAGTTCTTTGTTTCTCTCCCTACCCACCTCTCCCTTTCCCTTCTTTTCTCTTTTTCCTTCTCTGTAGTTACAGAAATCATGAAGTAAGACTTTTTTTCTAAAAATTAATTTTAATTACTTTATGTAACTAAAATAAACTACAGTGCAGTTTTAACGTAATTCCCAAT